AATTGCTTAGAAACGGCAGGTGGCTGTAAAGGGGAGCACTACCCTTCAGGGAAAGCTTATGTGGGTGTTTATGCTCGGCGATTGAAGGGGAAAGACGTGGTTAAAATGGGTTTAAAAGTTTCTTCTACAAAATTTTTGAAAATGATTCAAAATAATGCTAGGAGACCCACTTCAATGCTACACTTTTAAAAGGGAACACTTTAAAATTCTACCTTTTGCTGGAAGATAATCATTATCCATTATCATTTCTTAGCACATTTGTGGAGCTATCTATTCGATGTCCTGTGGTGTCATACCAACCTCCTAATCACAGCAATTAGTAATTACGCAGCCGCCGTCCATACCCGCCTGGTTCACACCTGCCCTGGCACTTATCCCTTTTAATTAGGCGCCACCAAAAGGTGAACATTTCTGGGCCCAAAGAGGCAGCCAAGTGGTAACTCACTGACTCTTTTCTGCCACCCAATACCTCTGCTGCCGCTGCCTTCTGCCGTATCTGTCAGTTTGCTTTTGCTTTGGCAGATGCTTACACTGGAAGAGCCAAACGCTTTGGGCCCATTTCTAATTTTCATTTTAATTATTACAAGTATTATTCTGAAAATCAAGTGAGCGGCAACTTTGGCAATTCCCACATTCAACCTCACCGACACAGCCAGGTCCGCCCCGTCGACAGCCGGAGGCAGCAGTCGGTGTGGCAGCTGCTACATTTTTCCGTTTTCTTCCCCCGCATTCTGCCCCACCTTTGGCCCAAGCTTCGCCCACCTGCCGCCGTGGCTTTCTCCCACTGGAAACCCACTGGTGTCTGTGTGCTATCATATTTCACGCCTATTAGCATTTTAATTTAATTAACAATTATGGCGACAGTTTGAGTTGGCTGTAAGGAAAATATACGATATTTCGGGGTATCCTAAAAAGGCAACGGAAAAGGGTTTCCCGCCGGGAACATCGCGTCTCTTTCAATCCGATAGCAGAACGCATTGGACTCGCAACTTAAAGTGAAATTGACTCGTTACAGAAGTTATACCCTTCAGCCTTCAGCCAGTTTCCATTATTTTTATTGCCAGCGAGCTCAGTTGCAATGTTTGACTTTGAGGTTGAACTCGGTAAAAATTTTCTCGGTAACTTCATTGCCAGACTGACAAAGCGCCTCAAACGGAGGGATATTAGTTTCCGATTCCGGAAATAATTCCACGTAACTATTTGCACGTAATGCCAGACAGACGGGCAGGTGGCCAGACAATTTGGCCGTTTGTGGAAATCAGATAGAAAGTTCAGGAACGCCCACCAAGTGAGATATATGTAGGGTCGAGTATGTTGAGTAGAGGTGGAGAAACATCGATGCCAACATCGATGTCATCGATGTTTTCGAAACATCGGTAACATCGATGTTTTACCGGGCAACATCGATGTTTTTCCATCTCTAAAGCACTTCGAAGAAGATTGACGAATAACTTGTAAGTATATCAGAGGTCGGCACGGCCCTATCTCGGGGGCATAGGAAATTTCTCTGAGCTCTGCCCACACACACAGTATACATGTGTGAAACGTCATGCACACAGCCTACTTTCTGCTATTCGTTACTTACACTAATGCTGTAAAATCATATCAATGTATTGGGGTGCCGATCCCTGAAGTATATCATTTTATTACATTATTTCATTATAAATTACTAACAGAATATTTTAAATTTAGTGATATTTGTTGGTGGTGTTGGCGTGAGTGCGGAGGCGATTAGACATGGACAGATTTTTGAAAAGTAAGTATTAAAAAGCCAAGATTTTATCACGAATTTATGCACGTGCACATGTATACATTCATACATACGTTCCATACACATTCGTGCACTCATTTTTACTTTTGCATTGAACTGTGGTTGTACTTTTGCATTAATATGGCATATTTTTATAGGAACAACAAACCAGCAGCCACGATCGGATGAGGAGCCAAAGAGGAGGAAGCGTGATGTTTCTATGGCTTGGGATCATTTGGATCAGGAAGGACAACTCATAAGTGACCGACGGACTCGGCTATCATCGACCGTTGTCGACAAACTTTTATTCCTTAACAAAAACAAAAATATAAATAATATGTAAATATGTATATATGTATGTATATAATAGTAAAGTAAGAATACTATAGAAGAAAACGTAGTATAAGGTTAGAATAAGGAAAGTGGGACGTATATAACAATTTGTTTTTATCTTTCTAAGTTTTGTTTTTATTTTATATTTTTATAATAAAAAGGATAATTTTGTTTATGTTGGAAATTATACACTTTTTAAACTTTAATTCAACTTCAAATGAACCAAAAGCACTTAAATTTGTTTTTTATTTAAAACATCGATGTTTCATCGATGTTTTGCGCCAAAAACATCGAAAACATCGATGTCCGCGAACATCGATGTTTCTCCACCTCTAATGTTGAGTCTCTTGCCTGTATGGACAGGGCCAAGGGTGAAGTATCCATAGCACTGTAAAATAATTGAAGCATATGGCTTTGGTGTAACGTGTCTAATAGTTATTATGTTAATAATTGAATTAAATTGATTCACTTGATCGCACAATCAGACCTTTACCAATAAAATTGAATTGTTGTCATAACAACTTATCACCTGACCAGTTGTAGTTTTAGGTCTAGTTAGTGGCTGTGGAGCAGAATAACAATGAAATTTATTCCATCATCCTGACCATCAATCAAACTGGTTATGCTTTTTGTTTTAAGCTAAGCCTGAAATACAAATGAAAATTCCTGCGGTTCCATTGCTTGCCACAAATGGATTTAATTGCAGCTAACAGGACGAGGGAAAAAACAGATTTTTTTCAAACATTATCCTTAAAAGGGTATAAATAACATTCAAATTAGATTGTTTTTGCTTTTAACATAAATATAAAAATGATTATTGAAACATTGCTCAGATTATGAGAGGGTGTTTTTTCAAAGGAAATGGTGAAAATTAATTCCTGTTGTCATCTATTATTATATATTTGTTAATTTCCATTATAAATGTTATTCTAAACCTTTCAGTATAAAATTGAACTTGTTTTCTTGTTATTTTTTCCATTGAAATAATTGCATTATGCAGCAGATAGATTTAAGCACTTTTTCCGCTTTAATAGTTGGCAGTTTGTGTTCACCTTTACTCTGCCATAGGTTAGCCCCGAAGACACAATGGGTTTACTTGACTCTCATTCGTGTTTTTGCCACGTTTTTCCGCTTTTATGTTAACTACAAAGGAAGCAGCAGTGGCAAATGAAGAGGCTGAGAGTCAAGAAGAAAGAAAAACATGGGGAAAGAAAACCTGGCAGAGGGGCAGGACTTTTTGTGCGATGCGAGACGATTGCAATTGCAATGCCGATGCTTGTATTTTACCCTGGACTGCAGGCAAGCATGAGAATTTAATGAGCAACCACTGGTGGAGCTTTGAAGTTTAAGTTTTTTTTCATTTTTATCCCATTTTGTGGAAGGAGTAGGTTTTGCAGTTGGAAAGTTTGAACTGTTGAAGTTTTAATCGAGTTATTGGCAGGCTGGGCAAAAGGATGTCGACAATTAACCCCGCCGACTTCAGAGAGCAAAAGATTTATTTTGTTTCGGATTAGCTTAGTAATGTATTTATTTCAAAAATTAAATTTATACAAGAGGAAACACCGACCTGAACCGACCAATTAAATATTCAACTCCAATTGATTACCTTTCTATTAATGCAGGTCTACCAAATTAATTGCACAAGCATGAAATCAAATTTATTAATTTCATGGCCATGGCTGGCCGTGGCTATTTTCCATTTGGCTATTTGCGGTTTTGTGCAAATAGTTTTGGTCTAATTGTTAGAAATATTGCGCCATTACATACATAAACAGTACTTAGACGGCAGAGTTTCAGTTCAGGTTTTGATTCCATGTGGTTTGTTCTGTTGGGTAAACAATAACACGCCGTTGCTGCTTGAATTATTGAAATTTGATTTTGTGTTGTGTTGTATGTGGAATCAGCAGAGCTTAAACGTTTTGTGGTAAGGTTGGTGGCAAAAGTTTGCATAAGCTCTAAATTAATATTTATTTGCCATGCATCAATACCAGATGCAAAGAAACTTGCGGAAACAATAATCAAAATTTGTCAATTACAGATGCTTATTAGAAAGTTATACGGCACACGCTGGCGAATAGCCAAAATATAAACTTTTGGGACACTTTTTAGTCAACATCTCGTACACATTGAATCCGGCTTGACTTAAAATTTGATCACTTTGAATTCAGCGCCTCAATTTTCTTAAATGCTTATTTATATATCGAAAATATGGGCGGAAATGTATAAGACTTTCCGGATAAAGAAGTAGATCTTCGGGAAACATCTTCACAGCTGAAATTATTATCAAGTAAAATGCATCCAGACAAACACACATACAATTTCAAATTGAAAACATCCAATTTTTAGTAGTTTTTTATATATATATTTACACAAAAGTTAATTAACTCTACTTAAATGATTACATTTTGTTTTGGAATACAAGGAGGAAAAGACAAATTCTATAATTCCTCTAAAAATTATCTGACTCAGCTAAATGTTATAAGCCAGTAGATTAGATTCGAATGGAATAGTGTAGATTAGCCATTAGAATAGTTTGGCACTAAAAAAGGTACTTAAAAAATTTATGAACTGGCGCTATAACGAGATTTCAGTTTTATGGGCGAGAGCGGGCGTGGCTAAATTTGGACACCAATATACGGATACCATAAAAGTTCAAGTTCCCAATCGGATAGTTCAAAAATAGGCGTTGCAAAAATTTGAAACAAACTTGAATAAATATTCCTTCATGAATAAATTATTTAATTAACTTTTAACTAAAATTTTAAACTTCAATAATTATTATGCCAGCACTTTCAGCTCTAGTGTAATTTAAATGTAATTAAAAAGTACCTTGTTGAAAAAAAATTATCATTTATAATGAGCTCAGAGTATATTTTTTTACTTATATTGCATAGATGCTTGGTTTTCTCCATCAGTCTCCACCAAAATGCTGAAAGCTACGGTTCTATTTACTTTCTTACTAGCAAGTGCAAAAATAGGATGGACCTATGAGGAGTTTACCTATCGAATCGACGAAGGTAATAATAATAACAAAACACTAAAGTAAATACATCAATAAAATGTCCAATGTTAAATTAGGAAATTTAATTGGCGCGAAGCTTAACACGGAACCGTTTATACCAATTTATAATGGATATTACTACTTTGGAAGAGAGTCCCTGAACTGGTACGAAGCCTACGAGAAATGCCGACAATTCAACTCCGAGCTGGTTACGTTCGAAACTGACGAAGAGTTCGATGCTGTGTCTAATTATCTGATGTCAGGTGAGGGCCGCGGAAACTTCTGGACCTCGGGTAATGACTTGGCCCAAAGAGCTAGCCACAGGTGGTTCACAAGTGGAGAGAAAATAAACAGCCAGAGATGGGCGCCTAATCAGCCAGACAATCATAGCCAAATAGAGAATTGCGTCCACATGGGTTTTATATCTCCTTATTCCGAGAGATACGAACTTAATGATCGTCCTTGCTCGCACGACAGTAATAGCCTATTCAAGTACATTTGCGAGGCCCCCAAGATACAGACCATTTCAATAGTGGTTTGGAAATAAATCGATTAATGAAACAAATTCTTTAATATCTTATATGAGATATATAATTTTGTAATTAATATTGGTAATTTGAATAAAATATTTTTGCATCAGATACTTACAACCTGGCTGGATACCATCCGCGCACCTGTATATATGTTTAGGGATAACAATATTAGCGGCTGATGTATTCTACACTACTTTTTTTTTATAATTCCAACTAAAATTTAAATATTATAAAGGTAAGCTACATATTTTTCTATGTGCAGTAAACCTATTCGCTCTTCTTGCTAAACACAAAGCTAATCAGAAAGTAAACGCTCAACTTAATTTATCGTTCGACCCTCTAGCCTGCAATCTTTCAATTAATTCCAGCCACCACCTGGGTGCATACCTTACTAATTGGGTTTATCAATGCTTGGCAATGGGGTTTTTGCATAATTAAAACGTCTAGCTTAACTAGCCTTAACTACGTTCGGTTTTTTGGACGCAAAAGAAAACAATTTTTGGCTTTTGCAAATGCAAATTTCATTGCTCATACGACATGTGTTGCCGGTTTCATACGTGATGCATGTGGCTCGGTTTGTTCACCAGTGGTTCTGTTTCTGTTTAAATTTGATTCCATTTGTCGGCATAGTTCTCTGAACAGCATCGAATGTTTATTTTCGTTGGGTTGTATCCGACATTTATCAGTATTGGTCGAGTAGAAAATGGAAGATTCACATGAGCTTCGACCAAATGTCGAATAGTTATTCAAACGTGACTTGTTGTACTCGCCAGAAGCTAATACGATAAATATTTGAATATAATTTGGCCCAGCTTCTGGACTGCCACTCTGCCACTCGAAATACAAAAATTCAGTAAAATGGCAACTGTCTCCTGTTGGATTATTCGTGTCCTGAATTGGATTTCGTTCCGGGTAATCATCTTCTTTCGGGCCTTTTCACTCCATACATATGAAATCAGAAACGCCCAGCCCGGACGGACTCCCCCAAGACCCTGAACATTTGGCTTGGTTATGAAAAACTTTGCTTATGCATAAATTTTGCCAGCCGCGAGTTGAAAACTGAAATGTTTAAAAGCGCATGAAAATGTTGTTACAACTTTGAAGTTTTTGCAGGATCGTTTTTATGCTGTTCACAAACATTAACTACGAGCAGGAGAATGTGTGTGCACCTTGAAGGGCCGTCCGGGTATTTGTAAGCGGTATTAAAAGGATTTCTATAGAATTTTTCAAACTTACCTGCCCTGTTCTGCATGCAAAGAGCAAATTTACAATTGCCTTAGAAGAGCATAATTTACTAGTTAAATGTTTTCATTTGGTTTTGCCATTTGGAAATGAAAAACCAAATGGTTTTTGGCATCATTTTTGATTCAGCAGAAACTAGAGTAGCACTCCACAAGTTTAGAAATGAACAGCTCTCAGTTAGATGTTTGTTAGCATTTGCCGTTTTTACTATTTAAATATTTTAATTTGGTTAAGCCCAGCCAAAACCCAGCAAGAAGCCCCCCAGAAAAGCCACACATAATCGCCCGCTAGTTGCGCAGAGATTACATGCCTTTTCCCGGAGATGTAAGTTCCTGAGATGGGCCTCCTCCGCGGACAGTGCGTTGGAGAGTCTACGCTGTGCCCGACTTTGGTCCTGACTAGGCTGTGAAATTACTTTGACAATGTCCAGATTAAGAACGCCGGCATGGAGGGCCAATTCGATGATCAAAATTGTACCACCAGCAGCCACGGCCACCAACTTACTGGCCTTCAGTAGAAAGTAGCCGGTGAGAAATCCGCCAGCAGCGCCCAGACCGATTTGAGGAAACGGCGATTTCGGGGATAAATTATTCATTTCTGTGAGTGTGGCAGTAATGTATTGGCTATAGCGGCAGTCTCTAGATCTAATGGTCTCCTACGTACTTTCCTTCGCCAGCAATAAATCACTCATTTTGGCTGCTTTTTCGTCAAGGTTTTGTGCTTTTTTTTGTAATTGTAAATTACTTTTTGTTACATTTTTTCTTGAGTTTGATCTCAAAGTAATTATGATGATAGAAATTATTTATAAAATAGACATTTTTTGGTTCAAGATAAATATCTTTAAATTACTTATTAAATATAGCATATGAATTATTTTCTACAACTAAAACTAAATGAACTCTCCTAAATCTATTTATTTTATTTGGTCTACGGGTAGTATGATTCATTTAAAAAGAAACTTGGAAAAGCTTCACCAAGAGATATTTATTAAAATGAAAATGTTTCTGGTATGGAAATGGTCGAAATTCAACAATTTTGAATGTGCTTAAAATATATTTTAGGACGTATAAGGTTTCTTTTTAAGAACTTTCCATTCCATAGATAATTATATCTTCTTTCCATTACTTTTTTATTATTTCTTCTTAAATTTTCTTTAGTGTACTCAATCGTCTTTTCACTTGGTCAAGAATAGAAAGCCAGTTAAAAGTTCAATTGCCTTGAATACGTAAATGGTCTCTCCTCTGTAGAATGCATTTTGGTTTTTTGGTGTGCCAGGGGTTTTATTTAATTTATCGTTCAATTATGCGCCCAGGAACGCCCCAGTCGAGTGGCGGAGGCGGAAAGTGCACCAAACGGAGGCTTTTGGAGCTGTCGAGGTGTTTTCGCTTATCACTAACTGAGAATCAAATTAACAATGAGCACGCAAATTGCCACAAATGACTGCAGGACTAGGACCTCGGGACAGAGGGAACTGCACTATTCAACTACTTTTCGAGCGATTATCTAAGAGAAGTAATACAGTCGTTTAATGGTTTTCGTACAAACCATTTCTCAGGCACACAGCGACAGGAATAGCCATAGCCCCTTGGCGCTTCACATAGTCAGAAATGCAGTGTTTGAACATTTAAATTGACATTAATAGAAAAAGTAAAATGTAAAACTGTCTTGGCAGACAGAGAGAATGGCAAAAACCATACATGAAATATATATGAAACAGAATTCCATTCGGCTATAAAATGGAAACTCAACTGTCCAAACAGAAGCCAACACGATCCGAGTAATCGAGTAACAATTTCTGTATAAATTTGAAACGTGTTTGCCAAGGCGGAAAAAAATTGGTTGGTCCTTTGGTGTCCTTTTTTTTAGGAACTTAATTTATTATTTACTTTATATTTTAACCTTTTGAAACTTTTTATTTCAATAAAAGGAAACTTAAACAGTAAGTCATTGTTCATTTAGTTCAGATGGGAAAATGCATTTTGAATGTAAGCATATTTTAGCGACAACAATTAAAACCCCTTCATAAGTAAAATCTGCAAGAGTAATATATGTTTTGTATATTTATACAATTTAAATGCCAACTTCAGGGTCCTCGCTTTAGCCATATGGTTAATAGGATGTGGGAGAACTAGATGGCTGGAACTGGCCGGCAACTTTGGATACTTGTGGATGGGCGAGCTCTTGCCTGTTGACATGCTGTAAATTTGAAAACAGTCATCCAGTGAATAAAGAGTCGTATGTTGGCTCAAAGCAAACGCTCAGTTCCTCCAGCTGCTAGTTGGGTGTTTTATTTGTGTGCGGGCCGGAACAACAAATTAACTGCGGTGAGCAGACGAGGATTGGGCAGACTGCCAGAGTGGCTGGAGAGACGCAGGCGATGAACGCAGTTTTGCGGTTCTAGTTGATGGAAAATGGGAAAGCATATCCAGGACTAGGTAAGTGAAAGGATCCGAGGGCGCAGGAGAGTGTGTTACCGAGCTAAATGGTTTGTCTGCTTTGAAAAATTAATTTAGATGTTGCAAGCTGATTTAGATACTCGTCGTATTTATATCAGAAAGTATAAAGTAAATAAAAAAGAGTCAACATAGAATATTGCAGTCTACTTTGAAAATTATTTGAAGTCTAAAAATAGATTGAGAAGACCAACTTATTTCAGTTAGTAAACTCCTATAATTAGAACTAGGGTCCAACAACACCTTCAAATGCTTTGGTGTTCCTTGTAAATTATTCCATGATGTAACAACAATTTTGGGAATTATTTGAGACATGCAATTCTCTCCTTTCTGATCCCACTGATGCTTGAAAGTTTTATATGCTGTGCGTGCTAGATGAAACCTTTTGGGTCAAATTAGTGAAACACTCACCGCACAGCTTAGTCCTGGAGTGTCCCGGAAGGTCCTGCAACGTTCGTTCGCACTTTGCATAAATTCATGGGAGACTCGACTTTACTGTCTTTATGTTGCTGAATTTTTACGCATTTTATACGTGACTCCTGCCGAGGACATCGAAAATTCTTTGGCCCTTTCTTGGCCAAATGTTTAATGAATAAATTAGAAAGGGGAAACCAGGTGGGACAGAATCACATTTTCGTAAGCAGTGTTTTATTTTTCTCCATGGTTTTGTCAACGATTAGGACGAAAAATAATTTTATAATTGTTATGGGTTAATGGTGCAAGTGACAGCACTTTATATTAATTGTTTTAAGTTCTTTAAGAGAGTAATTTAATCAAAGTATACACAAATTTTAACATTACAGATCCATGAGCATAGGTAGCTTTCATAGATAATTTTGGGATATGTGGTTGTCGTGTTATTTTAGGCAAGACTCTAATTAAAATCCGTTGCCATGACGATGTCACACAATTAACAGAAATTTGAAATTTAGCTTTGGCAGTACAGCTTGAAAATGTAGTCTCTTGGCTGCTATTTGGCAATTGTGAGCCGAAAAGAATGTCTGGCTGTGGGCCGAAAAGAATGGGATTGTTTTTTGATTAATGGGTGTGGGGCTGGGAATTTCGACTGCGCTTCCACCAGTTGGGATTATGCATTAGAATTCTGCTCCCTGCCTGTTGGATTCTATTAACACCCCACTAACAGCTGAAGGCGTTACATTTCCCGCCTCGTCCTGCCCCAGACTGGTGCTGTTTCTCTTTTTTTTGCGAGCCGGAATGCTTGGTGTTTGGTGTTTCTCTGTGTCGCTGTCTTCAGAGTAACACATGTCGCCACTTAATGCGCTGGGTGAATGCAAAATGAGATGGGGTGGGGCTGCTGGGGTGCCTCGGTTGAAATGTGGCAACCATGCTCCAGCTGACGCCATTGGCAAAATGCAACAAGGAGGCGTCTAAGATGTCGTGTTGCATAACTCCACAGCTCGAGGCAATTCATTTTTAAATTGATGGCATTTTAATCTACGGAGCTCTTATTCCACTCGAACAGACCGAAGAAAAAATAATCCGTCATACGGAAATACTCTGGGTATCTTTATTTTCGACCTCCCAGGGGCTTATTCAATCTGATTTCACAACTCTTGGGTCCGTAATTAAGCAATGTAATTGATTAATTGTCTGTTGGCTGACACATCGGTTGGACCAGAGTCCACAAAAGCCGAGACTACTGGGCTGCGCGAAAAAAATCAGCAATCAATGCAGTTGATTGTCCAGTTAACCCGGCAGTTTCGTTGGGTCCTGAAATGTTTAACTACCCACAACCTCCGAGCCTTGAACCGACAGAGCTTCGAAAAAATTATCGTTTGTGAAAAAATGAGGGGAGTGTATTTTACTCCCCACTTAATTGCATTAAGCAAAAACAGCGCTCTTAACCTATGATTTAAGGTGGCTGATTGAATGAGGTAGTTAAATAATCTTAAAGGACTAATGTCTAGCTGTCATGGCTGAGGCTTTTGTTCATATTTGCATGTCAGTTAGTCTACCACAACACAGTGTCATTGCAAATCCAATTAATACAATACCGTCTGGCCATCAAGTTGCTGAAGAACCCAACACACATTAAAAACTGGTGAGTCGAAGCATCTCTTATAAATTTATGTGCTGCAATTTCGAATTGTCAGGTCAACCAACAGGGACGCCTGGGGATTCCAATAAAGCTCGGATGCCGGGTAAGTCAGGAAATTAGAAACGTATGCCGTTGGTTGGCCTGGACTCTAGACCCTAGAACACATATGTATGTAAACACCCGCCACCTCCCCCCAAAAGGGACTGCAACAATGCAATCCAAAACTCAAATGCAAGGGCAACAGTTGCATTTCCTGAAAGAGGAGCTGGGACTCGGGAGTGGGGACTCTGGAGTGAGGAATAGAACACTGAGCTCGGTGTTAAACGAAATTCATGGTACCGCTGTCTCTGATGGCAGGGACTGTTTGAATGCCATTTCCGTTTATGAATTGCGCCGCCCAAGGGGCAGTTTAGATACCATCTGGCTTGGTAAAGATGAACTGTTTTGGATTTGAGTGGCTGTTTTGTTTTGTTTTCGTTTCGTCTGAACCCGAAAAGGAAGCCCTGTTTTTAAAGAGCCCTTTTGGGTTGTCGTATCGGAGATTTGAAGGCGCAATATAGAAATTCAATTATGACTTTGACTGGGGTGCCAAAACGGCACTCGTGTAAATGCATAAAACGAATTTGTTTATGGCGCTGCGAGAGGCAACTGAGTTTGCGACATGAGGCAACGCCTTAGACCGATGACTGCAACCGACACCAGTCGGAGCCTGCTCTCCACATGTCGTCCCGATTCCCAGACTGGGGGACTGCCAAAAACATGTAAAAACGAAATCCCCCAATATGTTTATGGCCAAAGTTCAAAGACTTTTGTTTGTCTTTTGATGGGGTGCAAATCGAAATTGAATTTCGCCGGGCTAAGCCCGAAAATTTTTTTTCGAGCCCCAACTCCGCCACCAGCTCTCCACCCTCGTCGTCGCGTTCGCTTAACGCTTCTCTCATAAAACGCAAACATTTGCAGGAAGAACGCCCGAAATGTTTCGGCCACATAAATCATAACAATGGCCATATTGTATATGTAGAACTGCTAGTAACAAGGCCACTGCAGCCCCTGCTGCCTGCTGCCACTACTGCCACTGCTGCATGTCGCACTTGTATGTGCGCTGCCACAAGCATACAAAAATTAAAATCAAATGCAATATAAATCTGGTCAAAATGCTGGAAGAGTACGTGCCAGATGCTTTGGGACATATTTTTTCCGGCAAAGATAAATCTGAAATCACTTAAATCGGAAGCTATTCATATTTTTTCAATGTAATAGTTATAGTAGTAAAGAACTCTTGTTAAATGTTTGGAGAAATTATAAAGGATGAATAATCGTAAAAGCATATCTTCCTTCATGGGTATCCTTCATTCGTAGCAAATATATAACTCGGTCAGTTCTGTGGAAAAAACTTTCTTTTTTATAAAATTTATTCCTTCCTATAGTTTCTTTTTTTGACCGCCCATTGTAAGTATTGTCATAAATTGTGAATTTTTCAAATGTTTGCCATGTAGGCGAGGGAGAGGGCAATTTTCTAGCAATTGTAAATCTGATTTAATGCCCCCACAGAGAAATGGATTAGCTAGAGTCGGAAATGTGTTGCAAGGATGGTCGTCGCTGGGGCGAAAACAACACTGACATGGGAAGCCTTAACAGCTGACACTCGACGCGGCCTTTTTCATAATTAAGTGGCTCATTGTTGTGGCCCGAGGGGCCAGATTCTCGTCTAGCATCATTAAGACACGTGGCTGGGATCGTCGTCTTAACAAGCACTTGAACATCACACGGTAAGCTGAAAGTGCAATTTGTGTTGACAACATAAACAGCCGGGGGCCGCGGCCATGTTGCATATTGCATATTGCAATGGCAACAACTGGAGTGCGAGCTGCGTCAAGGATAGGCCGCGGGCGGAATGCTCGACATGCATAGAATGGATGCACCAAGAAGCAACGTCTCAGAACACGCTTTCGCGCCCACTTGCCTCAAAGGCGTCTAACGATTTTCTTAGCCCGTTTTATGATTACGGGCCCGAGGAGGCTTGAAGTGGCTCAAAAACCGTGTACTCGCTTAGGCAGAAGCCCACCTGAAAACTATCCGAGCAGATTCCACTCGGTCCCCAAACTAAAACGAGTTCCTCTACAAATGTCACAATGTTAGGCGGCAAGGACATAAGAGTGAAGTGGCCGTTTATGATTTCAAAGTTGGTTCAAAGTTGGTGATTATCTTCATTAAAACATATTCAAACAAAGCAAATGCGAGTTGACCATTTTATATTTTTAAAGTAAATTCTTATTTGACATTTCATTCAATAATTAATGTTCGCAACATACTCTGATAAAATTAGTACATGTGTAAGACTGCCAACATAATAGTGTGAATACCGATTGCAGTAATATGTTGCTGAAGTTTGAACATCCTATGCTTAAAATTTAGACAATGTATAAATTATGTTTAAAATTATGTGTACTAAAAAGCCTTGAAGGCCTACATGCCCATTCCTCCCATACCTCCGAGAGCGCCCAGGCCGGCTGCAGCTCCAGCGGCGGCGGCGTCCTCAAGTGGCAGTTCGGTGACAACTGCCTCGGCGGTGGTCAGAAGCGAGGCTACCCCGGCGGCATCCGTAATGGCGGTGCGCACCACCTTGGTGGGGTCGATAATGCCACGTTCTATCATGTTGCCGTACTCGCCTTTCAGAGCATCGTAGCCATAGTCCCCATCCAGGATCTCGACCTTGGCTACCACCATGGCCCCGTCCACGCCGGCGTTCTTGGCGATCGTGAGGCAGGGCATGCGGAGGGCGCGCCGGATGATCTCGATGCCCAACTTCTGGTCCTCGTTGGCGCCGTTGATGTCGTTTAGCTTCTGGATGCAGCGGAGCAAGGCGGTGCCTCCACCGGGCACGATACCCTCCTCCACGGCAGCACGAGTGGCGTTGAGGGCGTCGTTGACACGATCCTTCTTCTCGCTGACCTCGATGTCGCTGGAGCCTCCCACACGGAGCAGCGCCACCCCCGACGAGAGCCGTGCCAGCCGCTCTTGCATCTTCTCCTTTTCGTAGTTGGAGGTTGACTCCTTGATGGCCTCACGTAGGTTCTCCACTCTCTTGCTAATCTGCTCCTTCTGCCCCTTGCCCTTCAACAGCATAGTGTCGTCCTTGGTGACCACTACCTCGCCGACTCGCCCGAAGTCACTCAACTTTACGTCCTCGAGTCGCACCAGGTTGGCCTCGTCCCCGAAGACGATGCCCCCGGTGGCGATGGCCATGTCCTCCAAGGTCTCCTTGCGGTTGTCCCCGAAGCCAGGTGCTTTCACGGCGCACACCTGGAGGCCCACCTTCAATCGGTTAACTACCATGGTGCTCAGCGCTTCGCCCTCGACATCCTCGGCGATGATGATCAGTGGCTTGCGCTGGGCATTCGCCAGCTCCAAGGCTGGTACGATGCTTGGAGCCGACTTGATCTTCTTTTCGCAGAAGAGCAGCAGGGCATCCTGGAACTCGGCCTTAGCCCCCTTGGAGGCGTTGATGAAGTAAGGCGAGATGTAGCCGCGGTCGAACTTCAGGCCCTCGATTACCTCCAACTCATCGCAGAGGGTTTTGCCATCCTTGACCGTGATAACGCCGTCGCGGCCCACCTTCTTTATGGCCTCGCATATGAGGTTGCCCACAGACTTGTCGCCGTTTGCCGAAATAGTGGCCACCTGACAGATCTCGTCCGGGGTGCTCACCGGGCGCGACATTTTACGCAGGTTGTCCTTGACCGACTCGATAGCCAGCATAACACCTCGCCGGATCTCCACGGGATTGGCGCCGCGAGATATCTTCTCGAAACCTTCCTTGGCAATGGCACGGGCCAGGACAGTGGCTGTGGTGGTGCCATCGCCCGCCTCCTCGTTCGTGTTGTTGGCCACGTCCTGGACCAACTTGGCTCCAATATTCTGGAACTTGTCTTTGAGGGCAATCGATTTGGCTACTGTCACACCATCCTTGGTAATCTTGGGAGATCCCCAGCTCTGTTCGATGATCACATTGCGTCCCTTGGGACCCATGGTCACCGCCACGGCGTCAGCCAACACATCCACACCCTGCAGCATCATGCCCCTTACCTCAGGGCCGAACTTGACATCCTTGGCATAGAAGCGGGTGCCCCACAGATGCCGATTGATTCGGATGCCACGCTGAAGGGTGGTGGAGTAACTGGAAAACATGCGAATCATGACGAGCTGCAAATGGGAAGGGATTAGAAATTTTTCTCTCAAATAATTTTAACTTTTTTATGTCAAAAAAATTTTTTTCTTACCTTTTTTATTATAAATCCGTAAGCACTGTTTTCACTTCAGCAGTCAAATATGATATGAGAAAGTATTGGAAAGAGTCAGGGGCTCTATGACAGCCACACGAAGTTTGGTGGACAGGCCTACTAATCCTGAAAAGTTAACAGAAACATCGTAGCTTTAGATTAAAGACTGGTGTTGCCAAGACACACAACAGTAAGAAATGCTAATAAGGTAATACTACCATACGTCAGCTGGAATGCAAAAACATGCTTAATTTTATAAAACCAGTCGAAAATTGTTACCTGTTGTCGCCAGCTGTCTGCGAGCTTAGAGCAAGTCTGCCGCGGCACTTTGACAGGTAATTAAAACACAAATATTATCAAAGGGTGTGTACACAGCACTGGCTGGGAGTCCGCCCACCCAATCGAGCCCATTTTGCAATTTTAATTTTCATGAACAAGCCTCGCCATTTGTCCACAATGTCTGTATCCTTCGCCTTAACAGTTTTCAATTTGCCCGTTCGCTTGTAAGCGCAGCTGACAGTGACTAGCGAACGATACCCCATCCAAGGGCTTATGTTTCTTGGCGGGGCATTTGGGTGGGAGGAGGACTGGAACCGGAGAGTGCCTCCCCAGCAGAAGTCCCCCCTGGTGGGTGCCCTGGTGGCGCAACCCATTCCTTTTCGCCTTTATTGTATTTCGGTCGCTGTCGTCTCACATTTTTACGACTATTTAAATGGTTTTCACTTTTCGGTTACAAATTGTCCTCCAGGTAATAGCCGTTGGCTGAAGTGGGTCGGGAGTCCCGCCCGCCAAGAGTGAATTTCAATTGCGAGCGGGTTAGCAGTGGCTTACTCGAGTGGCAAAGATGTGCCCCAGCCCGGGGATTTTGTTTCAACTGTGGGACTGGCCTTAAATTGGAGAGCTTAACTTTAGTTTGGTCTAAACTTATGTGCTCGTTATTGGTTAAGATTATGTATTTTCTACTATTGTAGCTTTTAAGTTTGAATTTGAATATTTTGGAACAACATATAAGATTAAAGTATGGTACTAATTGTATTCAATTATTACCATTTTTGATTCCCTTGGCCATCGTTTCGGACTACCTATTCCTCGCCCAGAACGCGCTACAGATGCATACGATTTAATTAGTTCAGTCGTCGAAAATTAGGAGACATTAATATTACAACAGCGCCCAGGCCTGGCAGATGGGTGTTGGAGGTAAGGACATGGCAAATGGGAAATGGACTGCGATGGGCCCACACATCATTAGGAAAATGGGCAAACTTAAAGAAAATTAGCAGCTGCATCGAGGGCTGACTGGAGATGGCAAATGAGGCGCATTTATTTGAATGTAATCCATTATGAAATCGCATAATGAAGAGATTAGGGCACGCATACGGGGCGTAATTAATAAATGACCCGACAAAAGGACAAACAAGGAAAGGGCAACGGGACTGACCTCTGTCCGGAGGAGGTTCGCGTGTTTGGCTCGCGAAAAAATCCAATAAATTAGGCAAACGGCTATCATTATTCTTATTTTATATATGTGGCTCAGACAAATAAATCAGTTAAAGTTTGTGGGCCGGCAAAGTACTTTAAGGATAATTATATTGCGAAAGCGAAAGGACAATAACTCAAATCACAATTGTGTGGAGGCAGCTGGCGAAGGATACTTGGCCTTTTGTTCAAACTCTTTCAAACAATGTTGGCCCAAAGGGCTTTGCAGTTCATTTAACTTTTCGACTTGACTTTAACCAATTCCAGCCGGCCAAAGGCATTTTCAGACGCGGTTTTCCTTTCAGTCTGTTCATCAATGACACAGGCCTACAAACTGAAGCTTTTTGAAATTTTAACAGGAAATCTGAGGCTTGGCTGAGTGGCTGTTGACTTTTTATTCAAACAAATTCTAAAAAAAAAACAACTTTTAAAAAGCTGATTTTAAAAGAAAACCAACGTATGTTGGCCTGTGTAATAAACCACAAAAACTGTACACGCAACAGGCTAAGGTCGTCGATGAAAGAGCCTAAGAGTTATTTGTTAATGGCATGGCACAAAGTTTAATTAAAAATACGTGCCATGTTATTAACTTTAAGTGATAGTCAAAATCTTGACAAAGTTGTCAAGGGAAAGTTCAGTCGAGAAGTTTGATTAGTTAATTGGTTAGAAAAATGGGAAGGTTTAAAGGTGATGCTGAAAAATATAGAAAATGTTTTTAAAATTATAATAATCTCATGGTGGAATTATGTGGTTATTAAGCTTAAATGTAATGAAAATAATAGACTAAGACTAAGTCTTTTTCGAATACATACTATATGTACATCCTTCTTGCAATCTCCCTTCTATGCTTTTAAATTTGGCATTTTTGAGGAATCATCTTTTATTTAAAGCCCTTACATAAATTGAGATACATTTTCGAAAGTGTATGCCTGTGGTTTGGCTCGGCTTGCTGCTTAGCTTTGCCACATGCCCCGTAACCCCCACAGACACACCACACTCCCTACCCCAACGTTTTCCCGTCAAACCCAACGCCGACGTCTGGGTCAGCTCACATGAGCCGGATGCACATTAAAAAGGGCATTTCCGGTATTTAGGTTAGCTCGCTTGACTCCGGCCGTGTTTGGTATTTATAGTTCGGCGATTTCAGCGCGTCGGCTTCAGAGGACGTCAGGTGGAAAAGGTCACGCTGGGTAACAGCGTGGCATGTGTTACGGCTTTTGGCATAAGAAATTAGAAATATATCGGCTTTCGACTTTATTTCCCATTGGCGGGAGCAGAGCAGAAAAGCAGAAAAAGTTACCCAATCAAAAATTATACTGTCGGCGAGAATGAAAAACAAGGACTCGAAGATGCAATGCGTTCCGGGGCAATCATAAGACCGACACATCCCCAAAACTTTTGTCCCAACGAAAAGTTTCGTCTTAACCCAGTCATTGTCTGCCATCGAATCGGGGGAAAAAATGGGGGAGAACAACGAAGTGAGAACTGTCCAAAAAGTGTTTTAGGTTAAGCGCAAACTTTTGCACACAAACGGCTTTTGACGGTCATTTTAATAAATTGAAAACTGGCGAAAGGGATGCAGGTTCCGAGGATCGGGGGATGGGAAGGACTCGGAAACTCTGAAATCGATAAGGGGACACAAGGGACGATTGCTACTTTTGCTGCATACTTACGGACGCTGCTTGGCCGGGTTCATAAAATCTGTTTACAGACTATAAATAAGCGATTCGATTTGTTTTTCTTATAAAACTTTTGCTTCCTCTTACATTGTACCTTCCTGGCTCGTTTGGCCCGGAACCTAAGACCATCATCGCTTATGCATGTCAAGGACCCCCGAATAAACTAAACAAATCTTGGATAAGCCATAATGTTTTCATCTTGACCGAAACTTTTAAACATTTTTATTGAGTTTGCTTTGTAATTTAAATTGTTTGTCCCCAACTTGTTGACATTGAAGGGGAACAGACAACCAGGCAGCCCGCAAGCCAGGAAGGCATTGTGCAGAGCAGAGAGATTCCTTGCTGCCAGATGACAGCATAAACCAATTTTTTACTCCTAGTGACTTTCAATCAATCGCATCAGTGTTCATTGTAGCGTCTAAAAATACGTTAGTCTGTGGATGCCCTCTCCTCACATGTGCACACTCCCATGGCCATGCCAAGCGACGGAATAATCGAAGCTTCAATAAATCCGTCAGCGACAGTCATAAAATAGAAAAACCAGGAATACCAATGTTGAAAATTTTTTGAAAAGGAAGCAGGCACAAACCGCAGATCTCATTCTCTTTTGTCCCCAAACGACATACATACATTCAATTTTCGCAAAATCAATGTCGGTTTTGCGGAAGAAAGACTGGCTGTATAGTGGATATTTAGAAATGAATTTAAGCTATTTTTCAGGACATTGCTTGGGGCAAAATCATTGGCCAAAAATTAATAAAAATTTACACAGAGAACTTGTTCCAACAATTCCCAATGCTAAGCAATTTTTACAAAACTAATGAATAAAATTCTTAAAATCCCAAGGGCTTCAAATCACTTGTCACATTTCTTTGCCCAGATACCAAATCCTTTGGCAATTTTCTTCACTTAACTAATATGTTTGCGGGTGAGTGTGTTTGTGGAAGCAGAATAACAACATAATTCATTTTGTCACTTGTATCTACTTGTTATTAAATTGTTTTGTGAGCCCTCGCACCGCATGTGGCTTGCCCTTTGCCTCTGCCGGTCCTTTTAGCGACTTCCATTGTTGGCACATGAAATTTATGCAAATTATAATACGCAAATACACAACTTACAGTCGGAGACACAATAAACAAGAAATGTGTTCCTTGTTTCTGGTTGTAAAAACAAAGAAAGGCGTCAGCCCTAATTCATCCTGCCTGGATCCAGTGGAGAAATATGCGAAATATGTGCAGGATTGCAATTGCAACTGAGTATATATTTTAACGTGCTGAAGGAAAACTGCATCCGCTGGGTGTACAAAGTCAAAAGCCTGACTGACATAGTTAACACAATTCCAGTGTCTGCTAATTATGATCCTATTTTTTAAGGAATTTAAAAGGAAATCATTGAATTTTCTCACAGTATTACAGACTTTTCAGTGCTTGTCCTTTTCAATTTTCAAGAATTTGAATCGCTGCCAAATCTTATAAGCACGATTACATTTTTATCTAGAGAATGGGAGTGTATTTAACGTAATAAAATATTCATCACTAGTTGGTAAGCCAATCTGCAAATTCTAAAATATTATATATTACTTAACAAAAAATACTTACTTTTGTACCTTTTTGGTGGTTTGGATGTGAAATAAATTGAAATGGACAAAAATGTTAATTTAAGCTTGAATTTTATACAACTAATTGAATGGTGGAAATTCACAAAACTATTGGAATTTATAAATACTTTGGGACTTGTGTATGAACCTGGAAATATTCATGCAGAATTCAATTTGACTTTTGGCTGCCATTAATGGCAAAAAAATTATCAGAAGCATCGCCACACCACTTCCATCATCAATAACATCAATGGGGAAAAAGTTTCCGTGGGTGCTGATTGTTTTGCAGTATATATTTTTATATTGAATGATTTCGGGAATTGCAATTTTCGAGGGCAATTT